TCTTTGATCCAATTGTGAAATAAATCATCATGGACATGTATCCTAACATATATAATCTATGTACCAAGTTTGAATGAAAACTGACAAAGCATGTCCAAAATACATTTTCAAAAAACAAGATGGCTGCCAGTCGGCCATTTTGAATCGAATCGCTAAACCACTGCATGTGCATATGTCCCACATAAAGTACTAGGCACATGCAAAGAATGAACGGAATTGGTCCAAGGGATTCTGAGATATGACTCCGGACGAACGTACGGACAGAGACCGAATTATAAGTCCCCATTTTCGGACTTCGTCCGAACGGGGACTAATTAAAAAGCATAAAACGCAAAATAATGTGACATACGATATCTTGAAAATTGGTTAATTGTCATGAATAAGAGCACAAAATGGAAACTGGGCCCAAGCTAATGTTTTCAAACTTTGAGAATAGAACAGGCCTGTGTAGTTTATCATATTCTGATCCAATCACAATATTCTACACCCATATTTAAGTCTACTGTATGATGGAGAAGTGTGTGGAACCAATTATGGTTAACTCTTTAAAATCAGAATATTTTGTATTTAAAAAAAAGTTTATTTCAGAATCTTTGATATTCCATACAATATATGTGCATGATATACTAAAATGGAAACTATAATTTAACTTTTTAATTAATTTTTTTAAGATTAAAGTTTGATCTGTCCTAAAAGGTGATAACACACATAACATGTGATTTATAGCAAACCATATTTGGATATAGGATATATAAATTACCGACGTGCATCTATGGTCAATGTCATTTTAATAATCAAGCATACAATAAATCAAATATTTGTTTTATGTGCACTTTTATTATCAAACATGATTAATGATTCAGAAAACAATAAATGCATTTTTTTGATGATTTCTTTGGGGTTATTCAGCACCACCGAATTTTAGCACATGCATTTTCTCAGAAAATTTGTTTTCATGTTAATTGTATGATATAGTAATCAAAGATTGTATTATGAGGTTGCTGTACACTATCACAATGTTGACCAGTTATTTTTATGATCCAGATAGAGAAAAAAAAAGTACGCCCAATAAAAAGCAAGTCTTATGAACATTTGCTCCAATAAGAAAATTTTTAATTTTTTTGGTATTGAACGATAGTTTCAGACATCGAATGTCACTTTTGTCTTTTTACATGATCAAGATCTGGTTCCAGATTGGCAGAAACACTTGATTTTCATCCCCAAAATGGCCGCCCTTCACCAAACAGATCATAAACAAATGGATGCGCATATTTATCCCGAGATGCATAATTTACGTGCAAAGTTTGAGTGAGATCAGTCAAGGCATGTCAGAGATATAGGTGAGGGAGGAATGGACGCACACAAGCGTGGATGGTTTTCAGAATTGGGACTAGAATTTATAACGATTTGATATTTAATATTCACATAAGTCAGTGAACAGATTCTTGTAATATTTGTTCACTATGTTTTTTAGAAGTTAATTACTAAAAGCATAAAAACCAATGTATGCAGGATCAATTCATTATATATTATATTTACTTGGACAATAGACACACTAATAAAGCAAATGGAGTAATCTGTCACTGAAAACAATTTCTATTAAAGCAAACAGGCAGAGTAGTAAATTTGCATAGAGTGGAATTGCTAGAAACCTCAGAAACATGGAAACATGAAAACTTGAAATTGGCAGTGACCAAAATTGAAAAAAATAAGTTAGTGGGTAGGGTTAGAATTCTCCAATGTCCATGATTGCAATGCAATATACTATCCTCAAACAAATGGCGTGAAACCCAGCCTCTTGGGGGCGTCAAATGCCATAGAAAGTCAAAATGGCCGCTGACGATATTTCATCACCCACTGATTGGCTGATTTTATCACCTGACCTTTGCTAAACTCAAACGAGTATCTTGTATTTTCTCAATTAATCTTTTAATGATTTAAATGTTTTAAATTATTTGAATTTGAATTTGATCCTATAACTTTTCATGTTTCCGGCAATTCCACTCTACGGTAAATTTGTCAATAATTGATACCATACATCCTAGCTAGTTCAATCTCATATCAAAAATGGTGTCTTCATCAAAAGATTATTTACATATTGTATGAGCCTACAGAAGCACCAAACTCAAATTTTGCATTTTTTACAAACATTTTTTCTCTCTTGAACTTGAAACAGAGATAAATTGACCTGAGTGATTTGACCTCAAAGTAGTACACTAAAAAATTGAGAAGTACCAAACAAACGCACAACTAATACATTGAATACCAAGATAGGAAACTTAACTCAAAAATAAAATTTCTAGAAAAATTTAAACCTAAAAAATAAATCCCAAACTACAGTGCAGCAGTGCCAACTTTCTCGAAAATAAGTTTGATGCAAAATATTGCAGAGTTATGCTAAAAATGGCCGCTGTGAATATCTTGATTTTTTGGATTGTTTTCGATGCAGCATGAATGTTTATACATATATTTCAGAATGTCGATTTCAGTTTAATACCAATAATATTTGTTTTACTTTCCTAATAATTCTTTGTTTTTCGCAACTAATAGTTGCTCAGCACTGGCATTAAAATCATCAGTTAGCTGTTGTACTTGTTTTTCCAACATTTTTAAAACATCTTTCGAAGCATGGTCTTTGTGTTGCTTTATGTCATTCATGACTTTTGACCTCACATTACGAACGTTCACTTTCGCTTTATCACACATTGTCTTCGCCGTTTTTGAGAGGTGTTCTCGATGTTCCCTGGTGACTCTGAAAAAAGCATGTAGAAAAAGAGATTGTTATATGAAGGCCACAAATTAACCTACAAAATTTTGTTTTCAGATTTAAAAAAAAATTTCATCAAGACCAGTAGCCAATCAAAAATTACATTATTTGCTTCAACTCAACAAGAAAATGATATAAAAATGCATACAAATTTCGGTGAGAAAAATGTTAAATTATGAAGTTTCAAGTGGATTTTATTTGTCTTTTATTTTGTGTAGAAAATCTTCTACATTTATGGTTAATCATTTGAAAAAAAGGGGACTGGAGGAAATTTTATAATCATAACTAGTGTAGTAATATATTTCTCGACCCCCCCAACACACACACATGCACGCATACACACATACCCCCCCCCCCCCATTTCATCGCCTACTAAATGGCTCCAGAAAGCCAAAATAAATGGTAACAAGCAGCCTGTTGGCTGAGATAGATCCACTGTTAGCAATGCACATTTCAATTAAAGAACTGAAGATATCATTAAAAAATTAACAATATGTATAGTATCGAAGCAATCAGACTTGCGGTTTTCAACAAGAAGTGGAAAATATCACTTTCACCAAAAATGACAACAAGCAGCCTGTCATCTGAGATAACTCCATTGTTAGAAATGCACATTTCAATTAAAGAACTGAAGATATCATTAGAAAATGAACAATATGTTTAGTATCAAAGCAATTGGACTTGCTGTTTTTCAACAAGAATTCAAAACTATCACTTTTCACCAAAAAAGATAAATATATTCATCAAAATTAGAGAATTGAAGATATCATCATTAAATGAACAAATCTTAGAGAGGTCCACATGTAGTACTGATAAATGTAATATCAAAGCAATCAGACTTGCGTTTTTTAACAAGAAATCAAAAATGACAAAAATATTCATCAAAATTAGAGAATTGAAGATATAATCATGAATTAAATGAACAAATCAAAGTCGAAAAAGTAAAACATTGACCTGGACGATGACGGACAAGCACTCATATGATAAGCTCATCTCGACAAAGTCAACAGCAAAGCTAATCATAGCCAAAGTAAGACAAATTGGGAAATTTTAGTAGGTCGCATGATTGAGATAACAGACTGTAGATAGAAATGGATTAGATCACATAGAGAGTGAGTCACATGACTCAACATGTCCAATGTTTCCCTGTAAGCATGGTATATAGCTCTCAATAAGACCATTGTGGCAATTTGTGCTGGTCTAATAATTACATGTCTGAGTTATCCTTACTTTGGTATCGGCACTTGTATCATGGTTCCTTCAGACTGTGGATTTAAATTCATACCGGCATCACTTATTGCTTTAACGGCCGCATTAACTGCCTGCAAAGAACAACATATGCTTATTATACGGTTTCACTACAACCATATTCTTTGCAAAGTTGACAATTTTATTTCGAGTATTTTCCTCCTATTCCCGATTTGACTTTTAATGGCCTTGTCTAATATCATTGAGTATAATCAAATGTTACTAAAACTCTTCCATCATCAACTTTGACCTGCTTCCATCAATTAAATACAGCATAAATTTGGAAACATGGAAATATTTTTTATTCTGTGTTTTTATCTATAAAAATTACACGTGTTTGAGTAAATGGCAGATATGTGCCTACGGTACATATTATCATGATCCAGTTTGATTTACATGTGCTTCTATAGACTGTTGACAGTCGGTCGTACCTAATATTAGTCTGTTATTATTAATAAATATTGTGTATAAACGTAATATGCGTGAATAAATTGCAAACGCCGGGACAGGAAGTATGGAGTGCTGTTAGGCATGACCAACTGTCCTGTTCTGCAATTCACTGGTAAGATTTCTTACCAGATCCGGGTACTTTCATATGCAAATGAATAGTCACGCAGATGTCTATCATTTTATCGTGGTCAATCGTGAAAAGGGTCAGGGGTCGCTGGCTACTAGGATCGCCCACGACTTACGCGAAGTTTGTTTTGACTGTACTATATGCGATCGCGACACATTACACAGCAGTTTTTGATATCATGATACAAACAAATCTTGACGAATGCATTATAAAAGTGCTGCAACGTTTAGACTACCATGATATTTCTTGCAAAGAATACCAGCGAGACACTATCGCAAACTACACAGAGGGGAGAGATGTGTTCATCTGCATGTCGTGTTGACATTCGTCTTCTTAAAAAGATCTTGTTTCAAAACCAGGGACCCCCCACTTTCATGCAGTTGCCATTCTCTTAGAGGAAAATGCCTGAGACCTTTCAATAACTCTTGCTTAGATCGATCGTCTCTGCCAGAACAAATTCGTTTTCTTCGCATGTCGTAGTTCTGTTGATCTATATGACTGCCACAAACAATGCACGTTGTTTCCTTGGTTCTAGGCGATTTAATAATTTTCTTTGCTATTTTGGTTGGAGTGAATGTATTCGTTCAACCAATGCATTCATGGGATCATTTAGAATAAATTTGCATACATTATGTTAATATAATTTATTTTGTGACGTCAGCATCAACTATGAATTATTCATATCAACTAGAAA